TAATAATAATAAACTAATAATTAATTGGTATCATTATCAAAGTTGAAAACATTTGTTGCTGCTTAATATTTTGTGGATAGCATGATAATTTTTTTCAGGATTATTTGGTGAATAGAAAGTTTATTGATATATTATAAAATAAAAGATTTGAAATAGAAATCTTCTGTAACATTCTAAATGTCTTTACTGTCACTTCTGAGATGGCAAAGCTGAATTTTCGGCTGCCCTTACAAATACTAATCAGTTGCTATAATTTATTATTGTGCTCAATTATTAATATCTAATAATAATAAACTAATAATTAATTGGTATCATTATCAAAGTTGAAAACATTTGTTGCTGCTTAATATTTTGTGGATAGCATGATAATTTTTTTTCAGGATTATTTGGTGAATAGAAAGTTTATTGATATATTATAAAATAAAAGATTTGAAATAGAAATCTTTTGTAACATTCTAAATGTCTTTACTGTCACTTTTGATCAATTGAATGCATCCTTGCTGAATTAAAGTATTAACTTTTTTAACAAAGATGAGAGAAAATGTGCATTATGAGAATAATAAAAAGATGGTGAGCATAAGAGACTTCTTTCAAAATAATTAATAATTATTCCAAATTTTTGACTGGGAATAAATTATACATATATATAAAATTCATCGACATATTTTTAATGAGACACAAAAAAGTTTTTAAGTTAACAGTTTCTTTACATATGCAACCTAGATTTTTAATGATCAAGAATGGATGAAAATTATACACTTATAGCTAGAAAACAATGGCCTATGATCTAGAATATTCAATAATGGTTTGTAATTTAAAAAAAAATCTGTTCTAACTGATGCTTCCATCACAAGTCCATACAAACGTTAACTTGATGAAGAAGTTAAAATCAGTTAAAATCATAATAACGTTCAGTGCATCACAGAAAATCAAATGTTTGTGTTTGCAAGGCATAAAAACATGTAGATGATCAACAAAATTCAAAATGCACTAGCACTGACAGCACATATGCATCACTAGATGCCATCTAATGCATGCGTTTTTATCTAAAAGACGGATGTCTTCCGGAGATTTATGATTTAAAATGCATGCAAAGTTTGTACACAATAATTGAAAATCTATGCTTTCCAGATGAAGTGCTATTTAGTATGCACACAGACATCTTGGAGATGTACATCATGTATTAGAAATGTTTCATTGTCAAAATACTTCATTAATATAAAGACTCAAGTATAGGTAAGAGATTTATAGGCTGACTTCCTTGAAAAGTCTGTTATTGAACTCTTATTTTTCCAATTGTGCAGATTTTACACATTTCAGCTTTAATGAGTGCCGACTGACGTTGCTAACACCACATGCTGTGCAGCACTGGCAAACCAGACATGTTTCATATCAATTATGCTGAGGAAGTCTCACATAGTCTCTCAGGGTCTCTCCAGTGAGATTACATCACCAAAAAGCTCATCAGAAACATCCATCTGCCCTGTCTTGTAGCCAAAAACATGACAAAGAGCAAACTAAAGGCTAAATCGTTTGTAGTGTAAACAGTTGTGCCAATTTCTGACTTCTGTCAGGACACATTTGTGATGAGACGAGGTTTGTGAGGATGGATGAGATTATAGGCGACGATTCTTTTTTCTGCTGACGGGGAGCTGGACAGACTTTCGGGAACACTATGTGATGACTGCGGGGATACAGCAGGGATGGAGTAAATGTGATTAAATACACCCTTTTCTTCCTTAAGAGGATGTAGAAAAAGGGTTACGTTTATTATTTTGGGCAAAAGAAGCAAGTTCACTTCACAAAAGAACAGGCTGATAGGATTCTGACAAAAAGCTCACCACACAATTTCATGTCTGGTTTATTATATGATTTGTGATCATGTTAACATGCACACTTATAACATTTTTGGAGCGTTTATAGACTATATAATTGTTACTGAAATTTGACATTTTATTTTTTTACTTTTTGTAAATATATTATATTTGTGTGCTTTTTTCAATTATTCTCATATAAATCTCAATTGATTTTGGGGTCGGTAAGAATTTTTAAATGTTTTTGTAAGAAATCTCATATGCTCATTAAGGCTCAAAATAGAGCAAAAAATTATAATTTTGTCAAAAAATCTGATTTTAATGCACTTTAAAAGAACTGTTTTAGAGTTGAAAATATTTTAAAATGTAATATATAAAGCTGAATTTTCAGCATCATTACTCCAGTCTTCAATGTCACATGATCCTTCAAAAATCACTCTAATAAACTAATTTGCTGCTCAAGAAACATTTATTATTATTATTAATGCTGAAAACAGTTGTTGTTCTTCTCAATATTTTTGGGGAAACTGTAATACATTTTTTTTTTTACAATTCTTTGATGAATAGAAAATAAAAAACGAAACAAAATTTATTTTAAATAAAAAAAATCTTTTGTTTGATTAAAATGTATTTACTGTCACTTTTGGCCAATTTAATGCATCCATGCTGAATAAAAGTTTTTTTTTTTTTAAATAGTGGTATTTTCACGGTTATTTTGTGCAATCTTGATAAGTTCAGTAGAAGTACAATGGAAATAGTTGAAAGCCTCCTTGTTTGGCATTTCCCAGATAAAAAAGCTTGATACAATCAGTTACATATAAAATGAAACCTGCTGATTCAGATAAAACTGACATAAAACTACACTTTACCGTAAAATCCTGTAAATTCTTACACAGAGACTTCTGTTCTACTATCTATCACCTCGCGTGGTGGTCACGTATGACACCCCGCCCCCACATTTCATTAGTTAAATAGATGGTGTTACAACTCACCCCGGGTTACAACACTCATGGGCGTAGAATATGTGGGGGACGTGTCCCCCCCACTTTTTTTTGGGCAAGTGTGTTCACGTAGAGTTTTTCAAGGTTTTCAAACATTACGGAGTGCTAAAGACTCTCATGCAGTGTATGCTTCATTCATCCTCGAAGCCGGAGGGCGCTCTCGCACTGAAAGCCCAAAACGGCACTCATAGAAGTAATAACTTATAACGTGCCAGGAAAAACCCTAATATGGACAAAGACATCCAGCTATCGCTGTAGCTAAGCTGAAAAAGCAGAAACGTTGAAGAAAATAAACACACAATTGCGACAATATATGATTTATGTGTGTTTTTCAAGTCATCTCCAGGTAATAAATAAATAAAGTATATGAATGATGCATTATTACCGTACAGAAATTATAAAGTAGCAGGGATGGAGTAAATGTGATTAAATACACCCTTTTCTTCCTTAAGAGGATGTAGAAAAAGGGTTACGTTTATTATTTTGGGCAAAAGAAGCAAGTTCACTTCACAAAAGAACAGGCTGATAGGATTCTGACAAAAAGCTCACCACACAATTTCATGTCTGGTTTATTATATGATTTGTGATCATGTTAACATGCACACTTATAACATTTTTGGAGCGTTTATAGACTATATAATTGTTACTGAAATTTGACATTTTATTTTTTTACTTTTTGTAAATATATTATATTTGTGTGCTTTTTTCAATTATTCTCATATAAATCTCAATTGATTTTGGGGTCGGTAAGAATTTTTAAATGTTTTTGTAAGAAATCTCATATGCTCATTAAGGCTCAAAATAGAGCAAAAAATTATAATTTTGTCAAAAAATCTGATTTTAATGCACTTTAAAAGAACTGTTTTAGAGTTGAAAATATTTTAAAATGTAATATATAAAGCTGAATTTTCAGCATCATTACTCCAGTCTTCAGTGTCACATGATCCTTCAAAAATCACTCTAATAAACTAATTTGCTGCTCAAGAAACATTTATTATTATTATTAATGCTGAAAACAGTTGTTGTTCTTCTCAATATTTTTGGGGAAACTGTAATACATTTTTTTTTTTACAATTCTTTGATGAATAGAAAATAAAAAACGAAACAAAATTTATTTTAAATAAAAAAAATCTTTTGTTTGATTAAAATGTATTTACTGTCACTTTTGGCCAATTTAATGCATCCATGCTGAATAAAAGTTTTTTTTTTTTTAAATAGTGGTATTTTCACGGTTATTTTGTGCAATCTTGATAAGTTCAGTAGAAGTACAATGGAAATAGTTGAAAGCCTCCTTGTTTGGCATTTCCCAGATAAAAAAGCTGTAAAAAACATTTTATATGTAAAAAAAATTTTACATATAAAATGAAACCTGCTGATTCAGATAAAACTGACATAAAACTACACTTTACCGTAAAATCCTGTAAATTCTTACACAGAGACTTCTATCAGTTCTACTATCACCTCGCGTGGTGGTCACGTATGACACCCCGCCCCCACATTTCATTAGTTAAATAGATGGTGTTACAACTCACCCCGGGTTACAACACTCATGGGCGTAGAATATGTGGGGGACGTGTCCCCCCCACTTTTTTTTGGGCAAGTGTGTTCACGTAGAGTTTTTCAAGGTTTTCAAACATTACAGAGTGCTAAAGACTCTCATGCAGTGTATGCTTCATTCATCCTCGAAGCCGGAGGGCGCTCTCGCACTGAAAGCCCAAAACGGCACTCATAGAAGTAATAACTTATAACGTGCCAGGAAAAACCCTAATATGGACAAAGACATCCAGCTATCGCTGTAGCTAAGCTGAAAAAGCAGAAACGTTGAAGAAAATAAACACACAATTGCGACAATATATGATTTATGTGTGTTTTTCAAGTCATCTCCAGGTAATAAATAAATAAAGTATATGAATGATGCATTATTACCGTACAGAAATTATAAAGTATATTTTCTTATCTTATTCTGTGATGAAAATTGAAAAATTGTTTGTAGTATATAAACCAATCATGAAATTGTAATTAGGAAAAAATATGCAAATAATAATAATAATAATAATAATAATAAAATAGAATACAAATTATTGGTTAGTATCCAGCAATGTATTTGATTTCTTAGCCAATTAAAAGTAAGAGATAAGAATTTTTTTTTTGGTCAAAAAATCAAAGTAAATTAATAAATAAATACAGGAAAAGTCATTCTCAGCCACAGCGGGCGTGAGAGACGCTGCTAGCAAGTGCTGTCCTGCACTCGTTGTGAAGCTGTCAATCTCTCCAAGATGACACTCCGTGACGGGCCTGTCATAGTTCATCATGGCTGATTGAGACACAGGACCCTGAGCGCACATTACAGACAACAAGTCTAGACCTAAAATGTTTATCAGGCAAAGGCGAAAAAAAAAACAAGACACAACCCATAAGCATCATATTTCCATGTTTTTTTTCCTCGAAAGAGGAGCAACCTTGCAGTGAATAGAAGAAAATGCTGTTTATCTGCATTACATTCAACATATTGGAGAGCAACCAGCCGTCACGGAAAATACACAAACAAACCACAATGTTTTCCTTATTCCATCTATCAGGTTTAAAAGAATAGTTCATCCAAAAAATTCTGTCATTATTTAATCGCCTCATAATTTCAAACTGGATTCTCAAAGCATTTCTGTCCCCCTCACTTCTGAAATGATGGCTACGCCCCTGACAACACTCCTCACTCTCCTCTATGGTAAGGATGTAGTCATTATAATTATTAAGGACAACAGAAGTTCATGGGAGCTCCTCACAAGTGTAAGCGCAAGAGCTTTTGAAGAGCACTTGAGTCTTGTATCGACACTCATCTGTAAATATTCAGGGAATGGGAATTACTTATTATAAGCAATTCAACAGAATTTTGTGAAAATGACTGATAAAAGACTTATTTATAGTGCTCTGGGAGTTTGATCATGAATGGATATGCTAATACACTACAAAAGGAAATTATGGAATGATAATTCAAACCTCTCCTTTGATGACACAAAAATACACTCTAGTGCATTAATATTCATATTGCTCCCTTAATATTTTTGACTTACATTTATGCATAAGCATTTCAAGCTAATTGGTAATGTGGCACTAAAACGATCTTTGCCTGCATGCACGCCAAAAGTAGCTCATGAGTTTCTCTGAGAAACTTCAGATTTGTCTGGGAGACATATTTTCATAGGCCAAACCCTAGAAATTAGTTAGTATTTTAACACTTCTGGTTCCAATGTCAATGTTTTTTTTTTAAATGGATTTTTGGTTAAATGTCTTAAAAATAGGTCTGTGGTTAAAACAAGATCAAGATATTTTCATGTTGAATTCTATAATTCATGAAAAATTCATAAAAGTTGTGTTCATTTGAGAAGACCATGATGAACAAAACGTGTAGGAATCATAAATGGTTGCTGGTCACAAAGCTTATTTTCTGCAATAATCCAAAAGCCAATGGAAAAAATCCTGTTGGGTTTTTGTCAAGGGAACCAGAATGATGCTAACTTCCGGGTTGGACTGCAAAAACACGTAATCACTGTAGCACTCTATTCGAATAATTTTTTCACTATTAATTCAATTTGCCAACATTCCAATGTTTAACTTTTCTAATTAAAATTAGTTGTATGAATTCCAATTCATTTTAATTCTAACTCCTCACATTCAGATACAGCAATTCTGAATCCTGTTTGCTACCTCACTTCAGATTTAATTTAAATCCAGCAGCTATAAACTGGAATTTATAAGGCATTCCCAATTCAATTCATAATGGCGCACAAGCAAGTTTTGCAACAGAGCTATTGTGAACTGTGCTCCGTATACTATTTGTTGGAGGTGAGAGGCTAGATTGTCTCTCGCTACAGGTCCTCTGCCCTCCCCGGTTTCCTTGTCACCTCATTCCTGATGAGCCTGTGTTGCTGATGTTTTCTGGAACTCATTTCGCCAGTCCTGGAGGTTAATTGTCTCCAGCTCCCTCATGTCTCTTATTGATTAAGAGCGTGGGCTGGAGCAGCTCAACTCATTGGCACCAATGCACATCTTCACCACGAGGCAGGACCTTGAACCTCGTCACTCCAGGGAGGACTGTTCCATCCTGGGCTTGCCCAAAGGGACCCGAACCCCTGACCACCAGCGGCACAAGCAATATCGTGAGTCGAACATCCTGTGGAATTGCTCTAGGCTGGTCTTACTCACTGTGAAGAAAAAGGAGCAGGCCATGGGAAAAGTCATTCTCAGCCACAGCGGGCGTGAGAGACGCTGCTAGCAAGTGCTGTCCTGCACTCGTTGTGAAGCTGTCAATCTCTCCAAGATGACACTCCGTGACGGGCCTGTCATAGTTCATCATGGCTGATTGAGACACAGGACCCTGAGCGCACATTACAGACAACAAGTCTAGACCTAAAATGTTTATCAGGCAAAGGCGAAAAAAAAAACAAGACACAACCCATAAGCATCATATTTCCATGTTTTTTTTCCTCGAAAGAGGAGCAACCTTGCAGTGAATAGAAGAAAATGCTGTTTATCTGCATTACATTCAACATATTGGAGAGCAACCAGCCGTCACGGAAAATACACAAACAAACCACAATGTTTTCCTTATTCCATCTATCAGGTTTAAAAGAATAGTTCATCCAAAAAATTCTGTCATTATTTAATCGCCTCATAATTTCAAACTGGATTCTCAAAGGTTTTTTTTTTTTCCCCTTACAATGACAGTTCAAATCAACTAGGTGTGTCAAGCACCTTAAAAGTAGAGTATACAACTCTACTCCAAGTTTGAAGCTATACCATAGCTTTGTATGAGAAACACTAAACCGAAGACATGGACTACTTCTATTCTATTTTGTGTTTTGTTTTGTTTTGTTTTATTTGATTTTATACCTTTCAGTTTGGAATGGAATACAAATATATTTATACTTTACATTTCTTTGAGCTTGTCACAATGCTTTCTGAAATGGTCTTTATTTTTTTATTTAGTATTTTTATTTATTTAATATTTTATTTAATAGTTTATAGACTGATTTTATTTTATTCTATAGAATATAATATAGTATATAATACAATTTGAATATCAGCTATTTATTAGTTATCAGTCATAACATTTAAAAATGTATTATCAAATTAGCTTATCTGTATTGGCCATCATTTTTAAAAAGTTACCTTTACACTTCACATTTCTCTGACCTTGTCACAATGCATTGAGAGAACGCCTTTTATTTTATTTTTTTGATTTGACTTTAACATGACATAAGGTTGAGTAAATAATGACAGCATTTTAAATTTTAATCAACTACTCCCTTAAAAAACAGTGAGCTGAATCAACAAGCACTAATCTGTAATTCCAGTATGGGATAGAACCAAAATTTCCAATGCTTGATCAGTGGACGTTATGATGAGTTTCCTTGTCTTTATAAAGCTCTGCTCCCTGTCCACCCACAGCCATCTGCTACGCTCGGCTTTGGACACACAATTTGGCATCTTGTCCGTGCTGGCAGCTCACTGTGGCAATAACCGAACATGCCCATGTTCCTTACAGTTGTCAGAAAAACAGTCATACATAAAAGAGTGACAAACATGATCAGCGTGTTTGTGTGTGTGTCATGACAGAAGCAAAATAACTCATCAGCCTGGTTTTTAAAACATTACTGTCAAAACCAAAAAGTGTGAAACTGTGATTCACGGTTGCGGGTGCGCTTTTATACAACAGTTCTATAAACAAGAAGTTATATAAAGTTATTTACATTTCAGACACAACATGGTCAGCTATTCTGGTTAGTTTTGCTCCTTCAACAAAAATTGTTTGATAAAATATTATGAACTAAACTAACTATTTGTATAATGAATATCACATAGTATATAGCACTTATTATATACTATATATGATAGAAAATGCATTTTGCTGTTTAATATGCAGTAATGGACATAACATATTACAACTGCTTACATGTTCTACATCTTTTAGTGACATTAATATTACTAAAGCTTTTTCCAGACAGATTGCATTACAGATAGTGACACGGAAGGCTTACCAAGCCAATGCTCTCCTGTTATCTTGCCAAATCCTTCACGATAAGCTTCCCAGTCACGGAAAAAGTTAACAGAGCCATCTTCTCTGCGTTGAATCACCTGAAAAAAAGGAAAAAAATTCATTGTTGTGCATTTAAACACATTTTTAGGTGATATGTGTATAAATCCCCTAGAATAGGAAAATGCATGATTATTACTTACACAGCTTTAATGCAAACTGTATTCTCCCCTGAATAATTTTGCCCTCATAATGGTGAAGTTTTTAACGTACTCTCTTTTTTTTTTACGTACCTCGACTTTGTACATAACTGGGGAAAACTGCATTTTCATATTATGCACCCTGGGCATGGAATAATTTACAAAAAGATCTAAAACTACATAAATGTGTGTCTATTGGTGAATTTAAAGGCATCATAAAGAGAGTGGTATTGAAAGCTTGTGATTGTTTTTGTTGAGAGGATGTTTAAATATTGTTGTAATGTGTACTTCTTGTATTTTAAAATTGTCTTACTGTATGGCTGCTACCTTGGCCAGGTCTCTCTTGAAAAAGAGATTTTAAATCTCAATGAGACTTCCTGGTTAAATAAAGGTAAAATAAAAAAACAGTTATAACATCTACCAGCAGAGGTAAACTCTCATCCATTGGACTAAACTAAGAGATGCATGATATATGTGAAAAATTTAAGGGGGTCTGAATACTTTCCGTACCCACTGTATATAGATGTATATACATATACACACAGATAGATAGATAGATAGATGCACACACACACACACACATATACATATATATATATATATAATATATATATATATATAAGCTATTACATTTTGTGAATAAACCCATTTATAATTTTGTTAATATTTTTAAATATTCTAATTGTTATTAATTAAAAAATAAATCAATAAATATTTCATTAATCATTCTCCTGACCTCTGAACGTCGTCTAAGAATGCAACATGTACTTTGTGTACTGCGCTATCAATTGCTGCGACGTGACAATTGAGTTTGTGTCGCTAGAAGTGCATGCATTCATGTACTTGTGTAGGAGTTTCAGGCCTGAATGTACTGAAGGTGCTCTTTCCTCGTTAGAGGAGTTTATGTTTAGCTAAGGGGCTTTATGTGTGATGACACACAACATATAGATTCTTCAGAGAAGACCTTTGAGTGGGACCTCCCGGGTATGTGATCTTGGAAAACACAGCCGCTCTCTCAATAAAACATACCAACACTCTGTGCAGGCGCTTTGGGCCGCATTCAAAATTAATAAATGGGGCTTGACTCTGAATAAATCCTTTAATTGTTTCCTCTTCCAATCCGCAGAGCAACCAAAAAGATTTTAATTATTCACCATAATCTCTGTAAATGAACACTGAGTCACCTTTCAGCAGTGGGCTCACTTAATCTTTATTGTACCTCGAGTATAAAACAGGTAATTAAAATACAGGGAAATTTTCATGTTCCGATAAATATTTCATAAGTGTGGTTTTGAATATTCCCATTGGCGCAGCATGAGCAGACTTCATGCGCGGCGCCGTTTAGATAGTAGAAAATCAGATGCATATTTCAGGTGGGCACATTTTGGGGCATTCCTAGGGTTCAGAGAGGGGATACTGGGGGTGACTGATGGTTTTGGGGCTGTCGTAGTATTCCATTTAGTAGTATTCCATTTTATTATCTCCCTCAGGAGAAATTTGTCTTAGGCAATCAATCAAGAGAGCAGATCAAACATACAACAATCAACTATCAAAAAATAAAATAAATCAACCTACATCGTCCATTACACAGCAAATATTACACGTTACCCATAACCTTACCCTCGCCCACACACAATTCATCACTTATTGTTCAATAATTTAATTGATAATGGAATCAGAGAAAATTTGCACCTATTTAACTTACAAGTTGGTACCCTATATCTCCTGCCCGAGGGCATCAACACTTAGTTAGATAACTATATGCATATAGTTAGATAAATATTTCTTAATAATAATAATATTTCATATTTGATAATTGTTCACTTATTTACTTGTCTGACATAAAAATGTTTTCGAATTTTTAATTTGTGCACATTTCTCAGCAAATTCTGATTACTTGTGATTAATTAACTGACGGTCATAGATATGTAGGTAGATTCCCCATTTGACTGCCCCAAGCAAGTAGATGCGTCCACCATCTTTAACGGTCAACTTGACGTCATTCACCATAATAATCAATGATTATTCGAAGATGCCACAATCCTGCACAGCCGCCGGGATTTAAATTCCCGAAGAAACGGGATAACCTTTCACAGGTGAGAATGTGTTGGTTTGTGTTTTTAAATGTATTAACTCAATATTACAAGTTTTGAAACATTGGTAACTTTTAATGTTGAGTTAGCTAATGCGCTCCTCTTGTTGTATGGTGTTAGTAGGTCTACACAACAACATGTTGAGCTCTCTCGGCCACCGCACTCAAGGGTTCGCAGACCATCGGCTGTAATGGTGAATGACGTTAAGTTGACCCTTCGAATATGGCGGACGGCTTACGTATAGCGGCCCATAGAAACAGTCGCTATTGAGGCATCTACGTATAAATATCTATGCTAGTAAGGATGTAAATCAATATTATTTTCATCATGATGTCATTAACGGAAGGGAACCACTGTGTTCTGCTCTTGCTGTTGTATTCCTCTGTGCATCTATTCCAGTTAGCCTAATTCCAGAGCCGCACTCCAGCTGTTGTGTCCCAAAAGCAATTTCTCCTGTTACAATGAATCTCCAATGCCAGCAGAGCACACGACAGCAGACGTGAGTCCTTTGACGCAGATGAGGCTCAGCTCCAGGTCGCTGCATCGGGCCGCGAGCGGTCGCGCACTTTGTCTGATGCAGATGGATGACCTTGTTCCACTGAGATGTTCTTCAGTTTCACAATTGCCATAGACTCCATGTGTGCAATTCAGACAGAGAACGAGCGGACAATCTTCCCTCCCTAAGACAGTTCATTTGAGTCACTTGCTCAGAAGGAAAGCAGCCTTAAGAATCATCTTGTTATCTCTTAATTATCTATGCTTTGATTTACGGCACTACGGCAGACGGCACACAGCGAGGCCCGGGGGAGTTTTGAAACACCTCTAGCGAGCTGGTAAAAATTAATAATTGTTCTCAAAGGCTGAACCTCTCTCATATTAGCTGAAGTATTAAATTTGCAGTCAACGTAAGAGAGGGAGTGTGTGAAAGATTAAAAGGAAAATGAAAATTGTGTTGAATATTCAGAAATGATGGAGTGTTTTGGCTCCCTTGAGCGAATTAGATTACGAATTTATTTCACTGTTTTGCAGCCGATGGCTAGGTTTAATTCTAAAGAAGAGGAAAAGAAGTGAGAGTTTATTGGTCTAACAATGGTTCTATAATATCTGATTTATGTTTTAGAGTGCAGGTAATGACCTCTGTAATTTCTCAGGATATATGCTTTGTAACCTACCTCGTTTTTCATTGTTTTGCTATGTTGGTCGGATATTTTAACATAATTGTTTGACATTTTGACAAAAAAATTGTTGTGGACAACAAATTTTATAATGAATACAATTACAACACATAAAATGATAACTTGTCCCAATAAAAACCTAACATTATATAGCTGACTCTTATTTTACCAATTGTAAAAATTGAAATTATATTTTTAATAATAATAATAATAACACATACTTTTTAAATTGATTTTTTTAAGCAATTTTTTTTTTTTGCATTCTGGATAGCATTTGTTTTATAGAATTCTGAACACAATTGATCTGGCCTGTAAAAAGTGTAGTGGTTTAATCAGTATCTGCAGAAAGCAGACATCAATGCAAATAAAACAGTTTAGACCTAACGCCCTGGCACCAAATTTGATAAAAAAAAACAAAAAAAAACAACAATGACAAGCAGCAATTCATTTAGCCGCCTAAAGGATTTGCATAAAAATACTTTGCATGCAAAACTGGATCTTTCATATCCACCGAGTGACAGCAAAACCAGACTTCTGAAAGAAATCAATGACCTTTTATTTGAACAACAGATAAAACCTGTAGTTAAAAATATCCTAAACTTCAATGATACGCTTTATTCACATTTTTTTACCACACATGTTGCAAAATATAAGAATAATGCCACTCCTTTAGGTAAATAGCCTCTCCGAGCTTGTAGTGGAACAATTGTGGGCTATAAATGCTGCAGCAGTGTGGGCTGTTTTTCACCGGAGAGTCGCTAGGTACTGGCAGGTTTGGTTTCATATTGCTGAGAGCAGAGAAAACAACCCTGCTGCAAAAATAACTGAAATCAAATCATGTTGTTCGCTCATATTCCCCATTGAGACCCCTCCTGCAGCCAGCAGTTGCACAACAGAACGTTGGTAACAATCTGCTTGGCTGGAACAAGAGAAGACATTCAGTGCCAAAAAACACGGCCTCCTCCTGTCACTCTGACAGAAAACAGAGTCTGACCATACACAGGGCAAAGAGGTGGAGGATTTGACAATGGTCTCCCCGAGGGCTGTCAATCAACTGAGGTATAAACTTGTGGCATCTACACCTCTGGTTGTACTGGCGGAGGGTCAGAGGCGGTGACTGAGTGCACTTGGAGCGCCACAGAGGTGCCCTCTTTCTACTACAGCGATGCTGTCTCCTATTTTGATCCAAAACTAAAAATTGATGGTGACGGTACATTCCATGACAGAGCTAATTAGAGCGGCTGAATAATTAAACCAATTTATATGGTCATATTAGTGATAATACTACCAGTCATGTCTGCGCAAGGATTTTGATTCACAATTTATTGTTTTTTTCCTTAAATTTGTTTAATCTTAGAGTAGTCCAAAAAGTATTTGGACACTTACAGTGGGTATAGAAAAGAATCACCCCCCTTTACAATAATCACATTTTGTTGCTTTGCAGCCTGAAATGAAGATGGACACAGTTTTTATTTTATGCAGCTGTATTTACTGTATTTATAACATCCAAGTGAAAGATATAACACCAACATGTCAGAAAAAAAAAAATCCGAATTCACTGAGATGGAAAAAGGATCTCTGGATGTGTGTGTGTGTATACTGTACAAAAATAAATCAATAAATAAACAAAAAT